GGGTTGTAAGAGGTTTAAATGTGTGCAGTAATGCTAGGAACGTGGTGGAAAATGCCCAGCTGATCTCAAATGGGTGAGAAGAAACCCCCCTCCCTGACCACAGATTTAGCATTGGGTGTAAAAAGAGTGAGCAAATCACTCAACCGAGAGCAAGCGAGCATCGGCAAATCCTGTACAGAACCTTGTCTCTGCTTTTTGTCAGTCGGCAGACAGGTTCCCTTCTATTGTTTCCCGTTTCAAGGTGAAAACCCCATTCTTGGCCCCTGCTGAAGAGCAGCAGAAACACCGAGCAGTGGGTGTTTTTTGCCTTCAACGCAAGGCAAAAGCTGTGCAGCAAGCACAGGTCAGTCTGGCCTCCCTTCAGCCTCCCAGTTCTGGATGGCAACAGGTCAAGGCCCTCTAATCCCAGACTTCACCATCGACCCTCCGCCCTTCCACAGGCAGTTCTGTGAACTGCTGGCTTCCAGCTCCCCAGTTCTTCCACCTTCGCGGCGCGGTGGGGGGACACAGGGCTCAGGCCCCGCCGTGCAGCAGGGGCTGCTGAGGCTGGGCAGGATTCTCAAAAATGGGTAAGCTCAGGGCTAGAATTGCTGTGCTGAGGAACACACGGCATGGGTGAGGAGTGTGCCAGATGCTAAACGTGTCTGAGGGAGTTGGGTGTTTTGTATCGGCTGCCTGAGAGCTGTGCTGCTCCGCTCCCGAATCCGCGCGGCTGACGTAACATAGGTGTGACCCGGCTAGAGACCAGTGCGCTGCTGCTGCCACTTGCACAAGCTCTGCGTTACCTGAACAACGAGCTTACAACAGGATCTTCATGACCAGTTCCATTGCAACTGAGAACAGTAAAGAAAAACCTGGCTTTGGGTGTTACCTGGCCAGTTCAAGTTCAGAGCGTGTACCGTGGTAGGTGCCGCAGATGCCCACGTGCTGTCTGGCCGTCTCGCTCGAGGGCTGCGTGCTTTGCAAATTAGATGTTCCCGTTTGCTTCTACGAAGTTTTGGTTTTGCAACTAGTATTTTGGAAGTGGACACCAAAAACCTCAAAATGAAATAGTGGTAAATGATAGGGTTTGAAGAAGAATGTGCTGTGCTTAATTGGAGAGCGCTGTGCTGCAGCCCCTTGCTGGCTGCGCTGGCTGCCTTTCCCCCCACACCAAGCGTGGTAGTTCTGGGCACCTCGGCACTTGGCAGTGTGTTTTTACAGAGTCTGGGCTGATGAGCCTTCTGCTGACAGGCAGCGGTAGCTGGCTACAAAGGCCGCGTGTGACCCGTCAGAAGAGCGGGCGCTCTGCAGTCGCAGAGCACAGCAGGGTTAGGACTGGGGTGCGTGGTGGCAGTAGCTTGCTTCAGAGAGTAAACCGGGAAGTTAGGGCTTAGCTGAAGGTTCCTGCCGCCATTGCTAGAACCCACAGATTAGAACGGATTCTGTTCATCATTGAATACTTCCTGTTATTGAACAGAAAGTACACAAAACCATCAGTTGTCTGAGGGTCCCATGACAGATGCTTTTCTTCAGGGGCCATGACGTTACTACATTGCATTGTGAATTGAGAAATTCAGGTTTTGTCTCTAGTTCAGCCCAGCTGGGACATTCAGGCTGTTTCTGCCCTGGGATCTCTCATGGGAAAGGAGTGCACTACTCCCCTCAGCCCTGCCTGGTGTGTGCTGGCTGGTGGAAGACAAGCTCTTCGGGCCAGAGCGCACGTCTGAACCCCCTGCCCGGGGCAGCACAGTGGCTTCCCACTGGCAGTGCAATGCAAGGGCTGTAAATCATGGAATAGTTTGGGTGGGAAGGGACCTTAAAGCCCTCCCTTAAACCCCTACCCCATGGGCAGGGACACCTTCCATAGCCCAGGTTGCTCCAAGCCTCATCCAGCCTGGCCTTGGACACTCCAAGGGATGGGGCATCCACAGCTTCTCTGGGCAACCTGTCCCAGTGTCTCCCCACCCTCTGCGGGAAGAATTCCTTCCTGATATCCCATCTCAATCTCCCTCTTTCTGTTTAAACCTGTTACCCCTTGTCCTGTCACTCCCTGCCCTTGGAAAAATTCCCCCCCAGCTTTCTTGTAGCCCCCCCAGGCACTGGAAGGGGCTCTAGGGTCTCCCCCGAGCTCCTCTTCTCCAGGCTGAACCCCCAACTCTCCCAGCCTGTCCCCAGGGCAGAGGGGCTCCAGCCTCTCGATGTAGGCCCATACTAGGGATTGGCTTGGAAGCTTCTGAGCCGAGTCACGTTTGGAGCAATGAGTAGCCCCGACAGACGGAAGAGGCTGTACAGATCCCACCCCTACAGCTGCGTCGAACGAGGCTTCGCGTCCTGCGAGCCACGCTGCGCAGCGATGTGCGTGGGGAGGAATCAGGCTGGCTCTGTGATACACGTGTCCACTGGTGTTGGTGAGGGAAGCAATAGGTCAGGTGTGTCTTGCACACAGGGGCAACTGTATTTTTGTGTATTTTATGTGTATTTTAGCTTTTGTGTTGATATGAAAACACAACTGTGAGGTTTTGGCCGTTTTGGCTTTTTGTGCCTCCAACAGGCACAATCCAAGGCAGCTGCTTCCATGGTGGGGTGCTCACTGGGACGAGAAACATCTTCTGCTCTTAACGGGCAAGTCCTATATACCCACCCCGGCGAGGACCCGGCCGTGCATTCCTCGCTCCCCGTGTAAGGGCACCTTCAGCGGCAGCGCGCTTTCACATGACCCCAGCACACACGCCTGACAGGAATGACCCCGTCCCATTCATCATCGTGGCTCGTTAACACTCAGGTCTGCTGTTTTACGGGCTCCGTGCTAACGTTAACCCGTACCAGGCCTGACCGGGGGCGCCGTCAGGCCGAGGTCACGCTTGGCTGTGCCGCTGCCCCCGGAGCAGGCTGCTCGCAGCGCAGGGCGGGCGTCAGCCCCAGCACACACGCCTGACAGGAATGACCCCGTCCCATTCATCATCGTGGCTCGTTAACACTCAGGTCTGCTGTTTTACGGGCTCCGTGCTAACGTTAACCCGTACCAGGCCTGACCGGGGGCGCCGTCAGGCCGAGGTCACGCTTGGCTGTGCCGCTGCCCCCGGAGCAGGCTGCTCGCAGCGCAGGGCGGGCGTCAGCCCCTTACGCAGGGGGAGGGGGTTTTTTTGGGGTGCCACGCGACAGCCAGCAGAATGCAATGAACGCCCCCGCCGCTCGTATTACGCGGGATTTCCTTACAACTCCAAACACAACGAACCAGTTAGGGTACTTTATTACAAAGCTTATAAAATAATTAAATATTACACTTATATTTTTAGCTTTTTGTACACCATAATTCATACTTTGACGCTACCATTTTCTTTCCTCAGTTGCCACTTAAGAAAGTGAGCAAAGAAATATAAAGGCAAAGCTATGCATTAATAAATTAATTATTTTACAGCAAACAACAGAAAGGACACAATAATAGAAACAAAGCAAAAAGCCCCTTGTAGTGTTCCTAGAAAATGGTTGTAATGACACAAGGTCCAGTATCAGGAGAGGGCGGTGTAGGCTGTTGCCAGCCACGGCTGCTGGAAGGGTCAGCGGCGACGCAGAAGGCAGTGCCAGGTTGGGGAGCGCACCGTCCGGCCTTAGTGCCGAGCTGGCTGGTCGCACGCCGGAAGGACCCTTGGGACCGGTGGTGACACTGAACTAGTCATCAGACGCAGCTGTGGGCTGGGGTGGAGTTGGGTAAATACGGCCCTCCCAGAAAGCTGCAGGAGGTCAGCGCTGTCTCCGACGGCGTTTGGCAGCAGGCCGGTGTGTTCTCAAAGCAGAGACGTTTTCAACGGTGGCACTTGGTCGGTGGTGTCACCAGCCGTCTCGGTGCTGAATGACTGCACGTTCGTGTTCCCGTTTCTTCTGTTTGCTGGTGGATTCTGAACCCAGCAGAAGTCCCAGGAGAAGTACAAAATAGGATCTACTTTTATTTGGTTAGAGTAAGTCACCCACCGGCCTCTTCCATTTTCTTTTAATCTAAGCTGTGTGAATAAATAACTATTTAGAGAAGTTCAGCATGAAGTAATGGGGTGTATTCTTGTTACTTCCTTTGGGTGACGGACAAATCAAAATCTGCAGAAGCGTGAGAGTAAAAGGAAGACATTCTTCAGTATCTTGGCATTCAAACAACCTAGCTTCTGGAAAACACTACTTTAAAATAGCAAGTATAAACCTCAAAATTACATACCTAACGAGCTTTTAGAAAGGTGAAAACATAACCATTGAGCTCAGTAAGTCTGAGTGAGTTCCTTGAGTTAGTTGAAATATGAAATTCTATTTTCCTGGTAACACAGCAATATTTAAAGTTCAAATATCCTAATGCTGAGTGTTTCCAGGAACACATTTCAAGTCACCAGTTACCACCTCTGAGCGCCTACACGAAGCAGGACGTGAGTTCTTCAGCACAATGAAACCATTAGCGCGATGCAGAACTTGCTTCTCCAGCAGCAAGTCTGACAGAGAAGGACCTTACGGCGTTGTAGTGCACGATTTACTTCTGGTGGCCACATGTGTGACGCCGCGTTCCCGCTGGAATGTCCGTCTGGGACAGTGGCAGTGAACAGCTTCCTCACCTGGGCCAACAGCATCGAGAAGAGGTGAAGGGAAAGGCCTGATAGCGGGGGCTGCCACCTTCCTCCTCCAGCCCCCAGGATTTGTGGTCTGGTAAACTGGCCAGGAAAGGCTTCTGTGCCTTACTTTCTTCCTCAGAGCGTACGACAGTGCAAAGCGACACTTGTGAGAAACCACCTGCCCCTCCAGCCTGAGTTCCGGTGATCCGGAGCACCGTGTACTCCAGCGAGGTCGGCAGGTGGAGAGCCAAACGAAGCGTTCCTTTTCCAACAATCCCCGGCAATTACAGCACCTCAGGCGTTCCCTCGGAGCTGGTGCCTCTAGCACCAGAGGTTTGCGTGGCACCACGTCTGGCCTCAAAGCAAAGCTCATCCCAGCTTTGCTGGGAGAGGCGGATCCTGCCGCGGAAGGGTTCGGATAACGCGCCGCTGTCAGTGCTTCTTGGTGCACGATTTACAGCACTGCTTGCCATAAAACTTGTGGTTGCAGACACCGTGCTGGGGTACCAGGTGACACCAGGTGAAGAAATCCACACAGGAAGGGTCATCTGAGGGAGAGAAACCCGAGCGCTGTGGTTAGACAGTGCCAGCAGGACCACAGGGCAGCAGTGGTCCCTCCCACGTGTATGCCTCTGGGGATACTGACCACACGCTGCGCGACTCCCTCCAGAGAAGGGAACCCTGAGCTCGCCTTCACCTCCGCAATACTAGCGTCTGGCTTCATTGGTTAAGAGCTTTCACTTGATAAGAGATGCAATTTGTCAGTTTGGTAGAGATAGCGCTAATGGCACAGGAGGGTCAGAGGCTAAAGGAACTAAAATCTGAGCGTACGCTTGAGGCTCAGGAGAGCAGGCGGCAGATTCCCTGCAGAGGGTAAAACGAGTCACCCCTGTGTCCAGCTCCGATCACAGATGTGGTTCGGAAGCCGGGAGCTTGATGCCCATGGCTCGTCGGCACCAGCATCTGCAGGGCTTACCCACACCTCGGCCCCGAGCGCGTGCGCACCCACAGCGCGTGGGCACCTGAGAGCGCGGGCACACAGTGCGCTCTGCGCCCCGTCCCCGCGCCCACTGGCGAGGCGCAGTTCTCGCGTCGGGCTGCGTGGGAGCCCAGGGCTCCCTGGACAGGACCGCTGCCTGAGGCAGGCCGGCGGGGGGGGACGC